TGGGGGAGAAGAACATGATGTAATAACGTAAAATCAGGGGCCCAATGTAAAAAAAAAACAAAAAAAAAAACGGCGTTCCCCTTTAATGTTTGCAGGTAGTGCTATAACACAGTGAGCTAGTTTATTGGTTATAAGTACACACCCATGAGAAAAAACGGATGAACTGATGTCACTCTGAGCTATGGAAGCTCAAAAATTGGATTTATATATATATTTTTTTTACCAAGAATTCAATCTTCATAAACAGAAAATTCTATTAATGATAAATTGATTAATCGCCAAGCCTTTGTTATTAGTTACATTTTATTAGCTATCTCTGAATAATATTTAAAGGGGATGTCCTTGCAGAAGTTATGCAGTGAATTTCTGTTTTATTGGGAATGTAGCTCCTACAGGGTTCTCACCAGTGTATTTCAGGGTAGCGAACCAACAGGCATTTGGGCCTCCTTTATCATTTCAGCACAGACGTTAGTTAAGCTGAACCTTTTAGAATTGCAATGGAATTATGTGGATAGCCTGACTTTTAATGAGAGTAAATGCATTGGAAACTGTCTTCTCAAACTCCTCTGCCTCCTTAATTGCATGTATACATGAGGGAAGTGCTGTGAAGACCTGCAGATTTTCAAATTCATAGAAAAAACCCCCAACTATATTGAAGCATTTTAAAAGAATACAATTTAGAGCTATGCAAACTAAACCTAGCCTGTATAATTACAACATAATTATAATACGTTTTCTATTAGATAGGGTTTGGGTACAAACAAATGTAAACGTGATGTGCTTCAAACTTTGCTGGTTTATGGTGTTGAATGTCCAGACTTAGCAACATATTGTTTGTTATAATGGGAATCAGCATCTAAAAGGAACTCCATTTCCGTTCCCATTTTCAGGGACTCCCATGATCCCTGTCCACATGGGTGTAATGGCTCCTGCACCCACGGTGAGTTAGAAACTGCTCATCATATATGTCTGTATTAACTATATTTGATGGTTTTCAACATAACATTGTCATCTAAGACCTAAAATGTGCTCTGATTGTGCAGGTTCTGGTTCCGACTACAGTTACTGTTTCACAGAAGCCAGTAATGACAAAGAAAGACCCTGTCCTCATCAGAAACAAGGGTGCAGAAGATAGTGGGGGCCCAACCACCACCGTGTTTGTGGGAAACATCTCTGAAAAGGCTTCTGACATGTTGGTCAGGCAGCTTCTTGCAGTAAGTGTTCAGTACATCACTGAGTTATTAACCTCAAACTAACATTTCTTTTAAACTATTCCAAACAAAGAGCATTTTAATGCCTTTTCATAAATTTTCCGGTGATTAACCAAATTTAAAGGTTTTGGTTATAAACGACCAAAAGTTTGTTTCCTGAACCATGAATGACTGTGGAGACTTCAGCAGACTTCCTATTCACTCTTCCTCCAGACTCGGAGAGCTTTGAATTCCAAATAAAAAACAGAATTTGATTTTATCTGAAACAGGAGCAACCTTCATTAGCCCTGATAGAAGAGCTCTAACACCGTCTTTGTTCCAGCAGTGGCCTCCATGAAGACCTCATGTTTAGAGATGGTTTATAGCAGGGACACATTTACACCGGGTAAAATAAGTATTAAACACTTAGTCTTAGCCTTGGACAACTTTTATTGTCATTTGGTATACACAGATCGTATACAAAATGAAATTTCATTTAACACCACCATTTTTCTCCGTAAATATTTTGCTAGAGGTGCTTTTTACATGGCATTTTCACCAGATGTCAGTAACAATCGATGCAATCCACACATACAAAGAAATCAAACCACAGATGTCCAGAAATTAAGTTACGTATAATAATGTGAAATGGTACTAGGAAAAGTATTTAACACACTTTGTACAAAAGCCTTTGTTTGCAATGAAAGCTTCAAGATCCCTCATCTATGGAGAAATTAGTTACATGCATTGCTCAGGTGGGACTATGGCCCATTGTTCTACACAGTTTTCAAATCTTTATGGTTTTGTGGGCCTCTTCTATGAATTCTGAAAATTTGTTCTTTCCATAGATTTTCTATTGGATTCGACTCAGGATTGGCTGGGCCATTCTAGCAGCTTTATTTTCTCTCTTTGAAACCAATTCAGTTTCCTTGGCTGTGTGTTTGGGGTCATTGTCTTGCATAAATGTCCATCCACTTTTCATCTCCATCATCCTGGTAGATTGAAACAGTTTGTTTTTATCAAGAATGCCCTTGTAACTTTTTCTATTCATTCTTCCTTCAATTATTTAAAGTTTACCAGTACCACATGCTGAAATACAGCCGTACGCCATGATGTTTCCACCTCCAAACTTCATTGTTGTTAGGGTGTTTTTAGGGTGACTTGCAGTGCCCTTTGACCTCTAAACACTATGTGTATTATGGAATACAAAGAGTTAGATTTTGGTCACATCTAACAAGATTATATTCTCCCAGCATTTCACAGGCTTGTCTAAATGTTGTGGAGCAAACTTTAAACGAGCTACAACATGCTTTTCCTTCAGCAATGCAGTCTTGCTTGGGGAGCATGCATACAGGACATGGCGGTTGAGTGCTTTACTTATTGTTTTCTTTAAACAATTGTACCTGCTAATTCCAGGTTTTTCTGTAGCTCTCCACAAGTGGTTTTTGGCCCTTGGACAACTCTTCTGATAATTCTTTTTACTTCTCTGTCAGAAATCTTGCAAGGAGCACCTGGTCATGGTGTCTTTATCGTGAAAAGATGTTCTTTTGACTTCAGGATTATGGCCCCAACATTGCTCACTGGAACACTGCAGAAATTTAGAAATCATTCGGTAACCAATGCCTTCATTAAGGTTGCAAAGGTCTTGAGAAAGCTCTTTACTTTTACCCATCATGAGATGTTTCTTCTTCTTGTGAGGTTTTATGGTGGTTGGCAAACTAGTTAAAAGTGCATTATCGCCACCAACTGATAAGGAGTTAGGCAAGGAAACAGGAAATGACTACCCCCAGAAAAAAGAAAGAAAGAAAAACTGTTTAACTGAACCCAACATAATAAATATTTAGTCATATTTGCCCTCATCATTTCTAATTTATCTTTAGTTTATTGTCACTCTGCCAGTTTCTGATGGTCCTGCTGCATGACATGTTTCATACCAGAGAGACCTTTTTATAGGCCATCATTTGGGAATTAACCAGCTGATATTAATTTTCACTGACAAGGGGCAGGATTGCTTTCTAATTACTAAGAGATTTCGGTTGGTGTCTTGGCTTTCCATGCCTTTATATACCTCTCTTTCTTTACGTGTTTAATACTTGTTCCTTATGCCATTCCAGATTATTACACATAACTTTATTGTTGGACATCTGTGGTTTGATTTATTTGTATGTGTGGATTGCATGGATTGTTACCGACATCTGGTGAAAATGTCATGTCAATATGACCTTTAAAAACATATTTATTGAAAAAAATTGTGCCGTGTTCAAAACTTATTTTACCTGTTGTATATCGGGCCACTTTAGTATTATCAGTTCTTTAAGAGATTCTATAACTTGTGTTATAACTTAACTCCCATTTTTATTACGAAGTTTTAGCCACGTTGTAGCTTTTTAAAGAACAAATGCCTCTAATTAGACACACATGACTTAGAAATGCATCTGTTTATTAGACCGTAAAACCATGAGTTTAATAATTCTCTCACAATATTCATATTATGAAATTAATGTTGTGTTTTTATTACCTATAAGACATAATCACTAACATTAAAAGCCATTTTTAAACTTAAAACTTAAAAAAAAAAACAAAAAAAAAACATTTTCTGCTGCATAGAGGTGGTTATACAGGGGATACATGGTCCTTTAGGCTTTGATTTGGGTCAAAAACTTCCAGGTACATGTTAGGGCGATATAAAGTAAATTTGATATTTAATCTTTTATATGTCCAATCTTGTTCTAAAAAACACCCAGACTGTCATAGATTTAAAAAAAAAAAAATCACTCTTTAAAAGGTATTTATATTTAATCCTTTGGGATTAGAGGAATCCTTAAAATTTATTTCCTTTTGCACCAAATTCATGTTTTTAAGATTTATTGAGTTTGATATATTATCATCAACATACCAGAATCGCATAACATTGATCTCTGCATGAAGTCTTAATATGATCATTGATGTCTTGATATGATCAAAAAGTTGTTGTTAAATCAGTTTTTTATCTTCAACCAAGAATTAAAAGTGTTTTTGTTTGTTTTTTTCAAAATAGAAATGTGGTATTGTCCTGAGCTGGAAGAGGGTCCAAGGTGCCTCTGGGAAACTTCAAGGTAAAAAAAAAAAAAAAACCCTTCTATGTAGATTTTTATCTTATGGTTCTAGTTATATTCTGTTTGCTGATTTTAATTTTTTTTTTTTCCTAAATTTGACAATTGTTGCACTTTTATCTGATCCATTGTGTTTATTTTTTGTATATATTTTGTGATAAAATTAATTCCATCTGTCTTTGATAATTGGAAGCTTTTGGATTCTGTGAGTATAAGGAGCCTGAGTCCACGCTTCGAGCTCTCCGACTTCTCCATGAGCTGCTTCTAGGTGACAAGAAGCTGCTGGTCAAGGTAGACGCTAAGACCAAGGCTCAGCTGGACGAGTGGAAGGCCAAGAGGAGGAGTGCCAATGGGGTACTGTGTTCACCTTTTGATTAAAAGATGTGAAACAAGCTTTTATTTAACTAAAATGTTTCAATAAGTGTTTTAAAATCATCACTTGGATTTGCCACGTAGGGAACCACAGACGTGTCTAAAAATGTAGAAGAAGAAGAGGCGGAGGTTCTCGATGAAGAAACGCTGCATCGAGATCAGGTTGTGAAGGGGGCGATAGAGGTCCTTATCCGAGAGTACTCCAGTGAGCTTAACGCTCCCTCACAAGACTCCGAGGGCCAGCCTCGCAACAAAAAACGCAAAGAGAAGAAAGAGGAGGTAGTATTTGGCTGTGGCCTATTATAGGCTGAAATATTATTTGATATTCTATTAAACTTTGAAGTAAATTTACCATGATTACGTTCTATAAGGATATCAATGCCATGGAGTTGGAGGATGACAAGAGAGACCTTATATCCAGAGAGATCAGCAAATTCAGAGACACACACAAGGTAATGTATAAACTTGCTGTTGTTACCTTGAAATAGGAGGAAATGAATCCTGTATGGTTGCAGTGATTTTAAAGTGGTCCAGAGTTATAATACTTCATTATGTTAATTTGAGCATGAAGACTTTAACTTAAGCTAGACACATCACACAGTGCATGAATGCCATGTTAGATATATTATGTAAAAAAATGCAGTGAGGAAAGTAATTATATTTTGCAAGTTCTCATATTTAGAAACTAGGAGGGGTCTCAAATTATCATTGTAGGTGCATCCACTGTGAGAGACATAATCTAAATAAAAATAAAAAATCCAGAAGTCACAATGTATGATTCTTTAACTATTTATTTGTATGATACAGCTGCAAATACGTATTTGAACACCTGTCTATCAGCTGGAATTCTGCCCCTTAAAGACCTGTTGGTCTGCCTTCAAAATGTCCACCTGCACTCCATTTATTGTCCTAAATTAGATGTACCTGTTTGAGGTCGTTAGCCGCATAAAGACACCTGTCCACCACAATCACTAAGGCTACGTTAACACTGCAGGCCTTGATGCTCTATTCCGATTTTTTTGTCAAATCCAATTTTTTTTGTGTTGCTGTTCATATTTCCAAATATATGCTACTTGTATGTGATCTCCTATGTGAACTGCAGTCATACAACGCAAGTGTCCCTGATGCGCAGTAGAGGACGCAATGATGTCACAGGCCAGCGTGCTCTTTTTTTCTGGAAGTAAACAGGGATGGTAGTGCCGGAGCAGAATGTTCACATTTTGGACAGAGAAGATCGGTGGTTTAAGAGGGACGTGAAGTAAGCCATCTATGTTGAGAGAAAAAACAACCTTAAACCGAGGGGGGTTGACTCAGATTTCAGCTTTATATAAACCTACAATGCAGCACTTGAGTTGATTCTTTCCCGCTATCATCGCAACCCCTCCACCCCCTTACAGGGGAACAGAACACCTCGCCTGTTTAGCCAGACCAACAATGCCCTTTAACGACCCCCCCTTTAGAGACATTGACAGGTAAAGGGTATTGCAGGCTAACAAAGAAGCCAAACGACCCCCATTCAAAAGGGGCTGACCCATTCATCCAGTTCAATTTGCATGTTTTGTAAGCCAAAACAAGGCTTTGTCATTGGTCCACTATATAAAGCCTAGAACTCAACGCTATTTCGGGGGACAGTGGCGTCGGATGTAGGAGTTTGCCCTGAAATCGAAGAATTGACGGTTCAAGCCTAGGTTAAAATAAATCAAATCCGACTTTCAGTGTCGTTGGGCAAGACACTTCACCTGCATTGTCTACTGATGGTGGTCAGAGGGCCCGGTGGCGCCAGTGTACGGCAGCCTCGCTTCTGTCAGTGAGCCCCAGGGCAGCTGTGGCTACAATGTAGCTTGCCACCATCAGTGTGTGCGTGAATGGGTGAATGACTGAATGTAGTGTAAAGCGCTTTGGTAAGTACAGGCCATTTACCATTTATTTCTGACATTCTGAACTGAAAAAGCTTCCTGGATAGCAAGCGAAATGTCTTTAAACTTGGAAACAAAGCCCAGTGGATTGTTTTTTAAACTTTTTTGGAGTGAATATGACCTGGATGACTGGTCTTCACCAGCATATTCTCTTGCCTAAATTATTTTGTGCCATCCCATAAGCTGGATGTTGAGATTTGGTTCTTGGATCCTTTGATGTTTCAGTGAAAATCATTGTCATTTTTTTTGTAAGAGTTCTTACAGAGAAGTTCTAATCAGAGCCTTTCATAATTTCAAACTTCGGATTGGTGCGTTTCTAGAAATGTTGGTTCCGAATGCACTATAAGGTCATGGTAACTTTAGAAAAACAAACACATCCACCCTGATGGTCCATATAATGGATAAAATCCGTTTCAGACATCCTGATTGATTTTTAAATGACTGATTTTACACATTAGATCTGATATTTAGAGTTGACCTTAATGTAGTTCACATGGGGATATCCAGTCTGTCCTCATGCAGGCAGGCAACTTCTCCCCTGGATCATTTGCATCAAATTACAACATAAAAATTAATTCCTGCAGCGCCATGTAACATTTAATTATGTGATAAATTGTCAAGATGAAATTGAGCTTTGCTTGTATTTTGTGACATCATAAATGAGGCTTAGCTGTAGCAAAAATATTGCCTAGTAATGTATTGATAGCATATAAACTAATAATAATAGTAATTTAGCTTATTTGCTTTTTATTAGCTGTCAGATCCACACTTGAAACAGTAGTTAAAGCCTGGATTTGATTAGAAGGCAATCATGAGCTTAAATAAAATCAGCTGAAGCGTTTGAACTCTGGGTCTGCCAACTCTTTATAAATGGGTCCAAGAAAACTGAGAGACGAAGGAATACAACCTTCAGGTAAGAAAGCTTCACCGCTTTTGTTGTGGCGAACCTCTAACCTTTCAACAATCAATTTAAAGCAGTTTTTATTATAGAACTTTTTTTTTTTAAATAAACTGTTTCAAATCTATTTTAACCTGTTACGACTGACCTGTTTTCCTCCCATACGTAGCTAATAGGGTGTAGTGGCAGAGAGATGCTGAATCCATAGTTCATCTCCTGTAAGCTGCACAAATGTTGCTTCAGAAAAAAATGTCTGCTATTTGCAAACAAATAAATCTAAATCCCCACTCAGTTGGAAGTTTAAATTTAAAAATATTTATCAATTTAAATATTTATTGAATATATGAGTTTAAAAAAAGAAACAACTCTTATAATATATTTGTTTTCATAAACTGTTGCCAGACATCTCCTAGAAATGCTTCTGTTGCCTCACAAAAAATAAATTTAAACTGATTATGTAATTTATCTAACAGGGCCATGTGCCACGTAAAGCTGTGATTTATTTTAATGCCACACTGAGGTGACGTCAGACCAAGCCATTATGTAGCAGTGATTTTAAGTATGTGATTATTGGTTTAAAGCTGACTTTGCAGATTTTGATTCTAAAAGCTTTATGGAAAAGAACCCAGTTATAATAAAATCTCTTAGTTTAGAGACACAAAGCAGTGTCCTAAACACCAATGTATATAGGCATCTGTGTGAGGAGTTATCGCATCTTGTTTATTAGATTTTGTTTTCTTAAGCCAGCAGTTTGTGACTGCGTATTGATCGCAGTGATGAATGTGCGGATAGTTTACCAATGTGCTTTTTTTGCCCACAGCTTAGTTGTTGTGGAAATATTCTCTTGTTACATCAGAGTATAATCTCAGATAGTCTCTGCTAACTGCACTGTTACGTACACTGCCTATGGTGAAAGTATTCACACCATCTCATTCTGGGTTTTATTGGGATTTTATGTAACAGACAAACGCAAAGCAGTGCATAACAGGACAGTGGAAGACTATCGGTACATGTCTTTTTTTGTTTAAGTTATGCAACTGTAGTCGGACCAAAATCATTTAGGGTGCGTTCCCAACTTATTTTCAAATATTTAAGTGTTGCTCCAGTTTCTTTGGATTAAGGTCGAGGTTATGGATCGTTCTATCAGGAAATTTTGTAATGTTGCTGTATTTTTATTGTCCTGCTGCAAGGCCATCAGCTCTGACCATCTTCCCTATTCCTGCTGAAAAGGATGATCCTCATAGGAGAAAGATTTTTTTTTTTTAGCTTCAACAGATTTGCCTTTGACATCTTCACAGCTTCTCTTATTTAAAAAAGCAGAATGCTGTTTCTACAACCTAACTCTGTTTTAAAGGCCTCCATATCAGCATGCCTGACTTTCCTTTGTCTTCATGATGCTGTTTGTTCACGAAGATTCTCAAACAAACCTTTGAAGCATGAATCTTTAGGTTATTTACAAGATAAACTGATCCGATTCAGAGCTACATTATTAAATCAGTCCAGTCTTAGAGATCCAGATACATTTAAATTTGACCCTAGTTAAAATATAATGCAGTAAAATTCAGTTTATAATACTAGCTGGTGAGATGGTATCTATTGCTTAAAGTCACAACAGAACAGAAAACAAGCATATGGTGACCGTGGGCACAACTATGCTGAGATTAACATACTCTACACCAGTGGTTCC